TGTGTATAAGTGTGTGTGTGCATGGCTGAGCGGTGTGCAAGTGTGCGTGTGAATGCGTGACTGTGAGAGCATTGTGACCGTGTGTATAAGTGTGTGTGTGCATGGCTGAGCGGTGTGCAAGTGTGCGTGTGAATGCGTGACTGTGAGAGCATTGTGACCGTGTGTATAAGTGTGTGTGTGCATGGCTGAGCGGTGTGCAAGTGTGCGTGTGAATGCGTGACTGTGAGAGCATTGTGACCGTGTGTATAAGTGTGTGTGTGCATGGCTGAGCGGTGTGCAAGTGTGCGTGTGAATGCGTGACTGTGAGAGCATTGTGACCGTGATGGTCTTACACAGACAGTCTGGTAGGACCAGTGATGGGGTCAGAAAGAGGCTGAGGCCACTGTGTACAACACAGGCGCATGGACATGTGCCCATGGCCCCTCAAAGCCCAGCTGGGGTGGGGGTGCATGGAGCAAGAGGGTAAAAGTGTCCAGGCCTCTGGGATAAGCACACCCCACACAGTCTCATCTCTGGAAGCCATTGAGTGGTTACCAGTGCAGGCTCCTGGGTTTGAGTCCTGGCTCTCTTCCTTAAAACTGTGTGACCCTGGGCAAGTTGCCTAACCTCTCTGAGCCTCTGTAAAATAGGGACACCCCCTACCTGGTGGGGTTATTTTATTTTTTTTTTATGCTCCTTTTTATTTATTTTTTTATTTAGTTTTAGACAATATCCATTGACTTTTCCTCTGCTTGTCTTCTCAATATTTTTATTTATCTCACAAATTTTGTTTGATTATTCTTTGATGTGTTTATTAGGATTGTGTAAGTTTTGTACACTGCTGGCCTAAGAAATATGTTTTCTTTTTTAAAAAATTGTTTTATTTAATTGAAACCTATTAATTGTACATATTTATGGGGTACCGAGTTATATTTTGATACATGTATATAATGGGTGGTGATCAAATCAGGGTAGTCAGCAAATTCATCATTGTAAAAATTTATTGTTTCTCTGTGATGATAACATTTGAGCTCCTCTCTTTTAGCCATTTGAGAACAGACAATAAATTGTTGTTAATTATANTGGGAGGGAATGACACAGGGCCCCAGGGGACGACCTGTGACCATCACAGGCCTAGCCGGGCCACAGGGAGCTGCATGGCCCGACCCACGTGGCGCGGGCCGCGACTGTCACCTGACCTGGCTACTGCCCGCCGCATGCCTGCCCCTGCCCCGGGCGACCGGCGGCAACTGTGCCCTGTCCCTGCCAACTTCCCACCCCTCCTCACACCCCTGAGGTCTGAACAGGGCGAAGGTGACCCAGTGTTTGGACGCATTCCAACCTCTGGTTGAAGTCCCCGATTTTTGTGGGACTCAGTTTCCCCAAGTTTCTGGGGTTTTTTGGTTTTTTTTTTGGCAGCTGGCCAGTACAGGGATCTGAACCCTTGACCTTGCTGTTATATAACACCAAGCTCTAATCAACTGAGTAACTGGCCAGCCCTCAGTTTCCCTAGGCTTCAAAAGGGGACAGTTAATTCCAGACCAACCCACTTCCTAGGGTTAGGGATTAT